GCGGTACTTTTTTTCTTTACGTTTTGATTTTTTATTTGCTGCAGTATATTTTTTATTTGCTGCAGTATATTTTTTGTTTGCGTTGAGCCTTCTGGGCCACCGTAGTGACTCCATACTAGACTCTTTAAATTTGCGCAAAACATTTCGACCAATATCTTAAGTTTGGAAAACAAAGAGACCTAAAAATTAGACAGTTATTTCTTAACTTATCTCCTATAACATTGAAATTTCTTAACTGATGCACTGAAGATCTCTCTGTCGATGCGTGACAGCGAAAACAAGCAGTTGCTGACAGATAAAAATCATCGCAATAATAAGAAAACAAAAAAAGACTTACTATACAGAACAGTTAAATAGCGCACCAAGAGGAGAAGTAAACTCAAAATGCTCATGAGACATAGCGAATCTGGCAATGAATAAGGCAGCCGAGTGATCTAGTCCAAGTGATATCTGCTTTTAATTTGTTGAAATAACCAAGATTAACTGATAAGTAAACGATATATATTACCTTGTGGACCTCAATGGGTAATGTGTATTTCCTGGACAATTTGACACGTATTCATCAATAACAATTGATACTGATCTGGTAGCAATCGATCCGCGAAATGGCAGTTACCCATGCATGGTCTCAAGTTCCTGTTCAAACAATAAAGTTTCCATTCTGCATGTATGAGTGTTAATGTGTGCACACCATTTCCTAGAAAAGGGTCACTTGCCCGTTTGATGTAACTAAAGAACAACTGGACAAATAAAAAATTGTGTTTAGCGCATTTGCAGGAAACGATCCCAAAATTGTTTAACTATGAATATAAATGTCCCGTAGCGACAGGCCTAGGTGACATGGGTGTGCCGTGAAACAAAAGCCTTTAATTAAGACATAAATCATATACACGTCGGTCAGTTTCATTTGCGGCGTGGTTTCGCATCATCGAAGGACATATTAGTGTAGCAAGCACTTAAGTCTTTTAGATTAAGCCTTCAACTCTACGAGATGAACCACAGCAAGCGCGCTTTCCAAAGAACTGTTGTCTTTCTGGATAAACGGCACAGAAGCGTGCCAAACAAGACTGAGCTGGGCAGGCTCACTACCGCCAAGCGGATTTCTGATTTATCATTTACAAAGAACGACAGCTCTTCCCAAATCGGAGAATTACTGGTGAGAGCATTTCCTCCCCTTACAAGAAAAGACCTTAGCAGGTAAGTGCTGCTGCCTACATAATCTGTATTGTAGGCTAGAAAAATGGTTCCAGGGAAAAGAATGAGAAATAACGTAATAAAAGAGGCAAGATTGGCTGTAAAGGTGAATGAAAGAAAACTAAGGTTGCTATAATATATAATCCTTTAGATGTCTTGCAATTACTAATAACATTGAGAATTTGTCGCCAAGTGAGAGGATTTATTGCATTTAAAATTGGTTACAAGGCAACACTTCGAACAACTTGCCAGTTTGCAATCATTTATGACGAGATAAAAAAATTAAATGAAATGTTGGCCAATTTTCTTAAGAACATCTTAGATGATAATCTTCCTTGTTCCACTGCACATTGAATTATTTAAACTTACAATACTCTTTTTCATGTGACATACTGTGCAATGTTTCTGTCATTGCTACAATCTAAGCAAATACCACTAAAACAAAATAATGTCACAGTGCATGCAAAATTAATGTATGTACCTTGCAGAAATAAACCCAGAGTTCAATTCAATTAAACAGAAAAAGTTAGTGTGGGTAACTACAATCACCTTTCTGTCATTACTTTATTACACTAGCTTGGAAATAATAACATCGTATGCGAGAGGGCATGCAATGAGGACAGTGGCAACTGGCCTTCAAAGTGGCGTGCAGCTCATGAACCACTTTGGTGGAAGTAGAAGGAAAAAGATCTTTATATTTCTACTAAGTCAAGGTCTGTGTATATTTGAAGTGTTACTTATGTCAACAAACCTTACATATGCACAATGTGTTTAAATTGTTATCGTCAAATGGAGCATAATTATGTCTTGGGCAATCTTTCTGTCATAATTTTAATTCAATTTAGCTTTCTATGAACTTATATTTATGCTCGATACTTTATTTACTTAATATCTAAGTAAGGTGTCTTTCCCTGCAGCCTTGCAACTTCTAGCACAAATTAATAGGAAAATAACAAACCTCCGGTACTACACAGAACTTTCAGAAGAAATTGGTCATTTGTTACCTCATCACCCTAGGAATAGTGATGTGCATGACTACTGCAATTTTCCAAATATTAATAGAGTAGCAGAGGCTGGCTTTATCAAAATGCATACCTTAACATGAAACAATTCAAAGGTTGATGGCCTTTATGTCATAATTGTATCCACAAACACTTGCAACAGTCTTCTAAAAGCCCATTTCCAGTCAAATTTATAAAAAATTTATAGATTATAGACATTTGATCACCACATGTGCATGCATAACCTGTTCTCTCACCACAGCTCTGTCATCTTCCACTTCATCATCAGCATCCACTTCCACATCTTCATTGTCCACAGTCAGTTTACCACCCACATCTGGAGCCTCTTCAACACCTTCAGCATCTCCAACCCTTGTACCACCAACATCTACAGCCACTTCTACATCTTCTTCATCAACAGTCAATTTACCACCAACATCTACAGCTACTTCAACATCTCCACCATCTGCAGTCACTTTACCACCAACATCTACAGCTACTTCAACATCTCCATCATCCACAGTCACTTTACCATCCACATCTCTATCCACTGCCGCCTTAACATCTACATCATCACAGGCCACTTTACTGTCCCCATCTTCAAGCAGCCTTGTATCTACACTGCCACTTGCACAACCCTCCACATCCACTCCACTGGATCTGATGCCTTTGCCAGTTGATGGAGGTAACTGGAAAAAAGTTTTGTCAATATTTGAAATTAATTAAGCTTTTCAGATCCTTCACAAAAATTTGAAAATATCAATAATTACAAGTCTGAGTTGAAAGGTATCTGCTTATACTACCAACAGCTTGGAGTTTGTCTTTCCCTTTGTAATTCAATTTACTGACTAGTTATGTTATTTTCAGTGGGTACATCTCATCCTGCCAATTGAAAGTGCCTAGATGAAAATCGAAGAAGTATGACAAGTTCTAATTTAATTCTGAATTTTAAGTGTAATCTAAATTGCTTTTGACATCATAGCTTCTACGCGACGATATCTCACAGCAATGGCAACTGCCAGTGCAAGAGGACTGACATCAGGTATAACTGCACGTTTGTCTTATTTTTTTTATTCGCTTTCTGCATTGGTGTTCTAAATGTGTATATGGGTGTGTATAGGATGATTACAATTTAAGTCTAATGTTACTCAACAGATGAGATCTCAGACTTGTCAGATGAGTCCGATTCAAACCAAGGCGGTGAGTTGGTGCAATTACAGTTTCAATTGATCTTAAT